AGATGAGCTTTAGATACTCTTTGGTGTCACAGAGTTTAGATGAGGCAGAGATGGCAGTGGCCAAACTACAGGAAGAGAAGGAAGTCTCTTTTTCAAAGAAGGTGGTGATTTGAGGCAACTGGGCTACTCGAAGCTTCTTTTCTTTCAGGTCTCGTTTTCCTGTTTGAGAAGTCCTGGGACGCAACTTGAATGCCTGGACTCTTGGGGGTGCTCCTGGGGGTCTCAGTGGATAGACTGAGGGTCGTCCTTGTAGTATTAGGTGACCTCAGTGCAAGGCTCCTTCCTCCTCTGGTCAGACAGCTGGCCTCACAATCATGGGCTGACCCCTTGAGTGCCCTTATGGGACGCCGACTGTGAGACATGTCTCCAGGGAGAGCCTCTTGGAAACACTGTGTTTGGGACCGGTAGGGTTTGTAGTTGGATCTGCTCCCTGGACTCTCCCTCACGGGCGCAGGAGCAGTGGGCCGTGCTGTTTCGGGAAAGTCTGCAGTGGGGACCCTTTTTGTTCTTGTTTGTCCTCCTCTTGTTCTTTGCTTGGTCACATGGCAAATTTGCTGGCATTTCTTTTGCTTTGTCTTTTTTTTCTTTTTCCTGCATAATGTAGCTAACCCACCTACCCCGCACCATGCGGCGGGGCTTACAGATGTGGCCCGGCGTCTTACCTGGGAGGAGTGGCAGTGGCTCATTCCTCCAGAGAAGTCGGCGAGGGTTCTGTGGGACGGCAGGAATTTCACGTCACTGATTTCGGGGTTGAGTTATCGCCCTTCTGAGCAGAATCAGCTTCCCCTGAGACCAGGCTGGATGAGCGCCCTGACCGTTACTGCTTCATTTCCAAGTGAGGGCGCGGGGAGAGCCGGGGCAGGAAGGAGGAGCGGAGTGCTTGTCACTGCGCTGAAGCCATCGCCTCTCTCCGTTCTCCAGTGACCTCTGCGGGGCACATGTCCTCACCTGCTCAGGATCGACTGGGGAAGTCACAGTTGGGGGAATATATCTGTTTAGTTCAGTTTCACTTTCTGCAGGAGGAGCAGGAAAACTGTCTTCGCACCATGAACTGATTTTTTTATCATGAAAAATTTCAAACATACACAAAGGTAGAAAATATTTTATTCATGTGTCCATCATCTGAATTCAACAGTTATAACAGTTTTTCTGCACTTGCTACATCTTTTTTTTTTTTTTTACTGAAGCATCTTAAGATACATCTCAGACATGTTTCATTCCTACCAACTTCAGTACACTTCTCTAGAAATAGAGACGTCGGTTTACATAACTGCGGTGGCGTTGTCACACCTGTCAACAGGAGGTCTTATGATCTGCCACCCAGCCCCGCAGCATGCTTCCTTCCTTGTCTCCTTTCAGCAGCTGGCTCTCTACCTCACGTTACATTTGATCGCCACGGCTCAAGTCTCTTTCATCTGGAGTATCACCCCGCCCCCTATTCCAGGCCATTTCTTTGTTGCAAAACCAGGCCGTCGTCCTCCAGGCCGCTCACATTTTGGTATTTTTCTGCCTGTATCTCGGTAGTTCCTCTGTCCTTCCTAGTTCCTCCAAATGGAAGTGAGTCCTGGAGGCTTGATGAGATTCCGGGTCGCTCTTTTGGTGGGAGTGTTTCAAGGTGGTGCCGCGTTTCCTATCGGACCGCGTTGAGCGGCGCACAAGGTCTGGTTGTGGCTCCTAGAGCTGTGCTAAGATTGATCAATAGGTTGGGGTGGTGACAGCACGGTCCTCTCAGTGTGAAGTTTATGGCCAGCCTTCCACCTGTTTCACCCGTTCCTTATCGTGCCCTGGACCAGGTATTTCATTGGGGTTGTAGAGTTGCTAGCTGGGATGCTGCAGAGTCTTGCAAGGTAAGTTCACGAAGGAAAGATGGGACGGATGCTCAGTTCTTTCCTTTTAATTGCCAGTTTTTAACAAAGGTGAAAAGTTGGTGTCCTGGTTACTTCCCATTTTGTCCAGTGCCTTGAGTCTCTTTCTCTCCGCCTCTTCTATCCCTCTTTTTCTCTCTGCTCCCCCTCGCCCGCGGTCATTGTGGAATCATGGGGTTTTGTGTGCTTGATGTGTTTCAGCAGATCGCGTCCACCTTTCCTTTGATGGGTGGACACAATCTGCTGAAACACATCAAGCATCAGTGTTCCTGTTTTGGGCCAATGGGCGTGTCTTTATATATCGGCATCTCGAGAGCTCCTTCGGCATGACTCTCTGGCACTTCGGCATAACGAGATGTCCCAGACTCATTTTATGAAGAGCCACTCTGGCCTTGAAACCGGCTGTTGTCCCAGGGTCCCTGTGCCATCAGGTGGGAAAGGGTGTTAAGGGAAGGGACTGTCGCTGTCAGTCATCTTTGCTTCCAGGCCTTTTTGGTGGACAGACCTAAAACAAAGACATGCGTTCAAGCTGTTACTTCTACATTAAATCTTATGTTACAGGATTTTTTCCCCTTAACTGTGATTTTATATTTGTGTCTCATTTCTCCTACACTGTGTCCTGCGGTTCCTAACAACATTAGCACCCTTACTTGTTGGTATTCTCTTCCTTTATAAAAACACCAGTGTTATGACAACTAACAGTTAAACTGTTGAAAGCTTGATTTCTCTGCATCTTTATCACCAGAATATGTCCTTCTGAGGATATATATTTGTGGGTATGTCACCAATTTGAAAGTTAAGGTTCATTTTCTGCATTGTGCTTTACAATTTTAGGGACTGTTTTGCTTTTTTGTTTACTTATATTTTTTGAATATTTAAATATTTATGTTTCCAAAGTTAAAACTACCTAACAAACAAGGTACATTCGGAGAAGTTTTACTCCATCCTTTTCTCCTTTTTCCCCTTTAGATAACCATTTAAATGCAGTTCGTATCAGCCTTCTCCGTGCTTATGTTTATACAGTATATGAACAAACACATACCTTCACATTCTCTTTTTTTTTTTTTTTTTTTTTTTTTGCACAAAAGATAGCATGGTTTATAAATTATTCTGTGCCTGACTTTTGTTTTTCACTGAACAGTATGAGCTGGTTCATTCCACATTAGTATATGATGGTCGCCTTCCTCCCTGCTGTGAGGTGGCTGGGCATGTCTCGTTGTAGGAGGCACTGTGGTGGCATCAGCCAGACCCCTCCCAGGTGGTTGGGCCTGGGGTTGGCTATAGATTCGCTGTGACAGATACTGCCTCAGTGAATAAACTGGGACATCAGTCATTCCTGTTTTTGTCACTGCGTCTTGGGCTTACTCTCTGGAAGTGTGATCACTAGGTCAAAGGGTAGAGGCAGATGTACTTTTTCTAGACATTGCCTGTGTTTTTGCTGAAACTTTGTTCCTAACCCTTCCACCTAGAAGCAGTCCGATTTATTTTGTCATTTTAGTGTTAAAGAAATCTCCTTAATCACCCACGTACCCCATCTTTGCGTGGAACATACTGAAAGTGTTATTCTAAGAGCCATTGAGTTCCTTAATTAACTGCAGCGTCGCTCAGGGGGTCTAGAGCACAGGAGATGAGAAGCTTGCGGAGACGTGGGCCGAGGCCTGAAAGGGAATATTGTGAGACTGACCCTCTTCTGTTTGCTCCTCATGCTGTCTGTTGTATATTTTATCCCGTGTTGGTTATCGAGAGAGACTGGTAAGAGGGCACTGGGCAGGGCCTTTTTGTCTGCTCTACCAGAACGCGGCGGGTCACGCCTGGGGGGCTGGCGGGTACCGTAAGGGGCTGGAGAGCGTTGTACAGGTACGGTGAGCGCCTTCCTTCACTGAATAGAACCGGGAGCAACACAGGAGTTCCTCCCTCGGGGCATTCACGTCCTAGTATAGGAGACAGGTCAAACCCAAGGACAGGAAGATAATTACAAGTTCCATGTGCTTTGAAGGAATCAAGATTAAAATAGAACCTCCACCAGGGGCCCCCTTTAGGTAGAGGCGGGGCCTCTGACACACCACGGGCTCCGGGCGGAGAGAGCATTTCAGGCACAGGACCAGTCTGTACAAAGGCCCGAGGCAGGCACCGTGGGAGGGCAGGGCCAGGTCCTGGCAGGACCTTGAGCTTTAGCTTAAGGATTTGGAGTTTACATCAGGAAATCACTGAGGATAGTTAAGCAAGGGAACGACATCTGATACCCATCTGTCGCGTGTGTATTCCTTATAGATGGGAAGGCTGCTCGAATACCATGTTACGCTCCAGAAGCAGCAGCATTGTCCCTTCTGAAGTTCAGAGCGGAGGTAGTTTTCCTTCTCGCTCTTTGTGCAGAACAGCTGCTTCTCACACTCACTGTAGGGCCTCTGAGGACTTCTGTCCCGCATTTCCTTGATGCTCAGGGAGTTGCAGTAGGTGGTTGTCACTGGGTTGTGTACACGGGCTGTGACAGGAACGTGACCTCTACACGTCTCCAGACCTGCAACCCCTGGAGACACCTCTCCGGGAGATAAGAGCCGCTTTCTCAAGACCAGGAAAGGTCTGTGTCACTGCCGTCCCATTTACGTGAAACTAATTACGGAATCAGCAGTTTGCTGGGCGAAGAAGGCATCGTCAGTGTCTCTGTTTCTGTTTCCGTTGCAGGAGATGCAGTGACGCCTGCGTAGGGACCTCAGGGCAGGAGCCGCACGCGCGCCGAGGGCCTCGCTTCCTGGGAAGCCCTGTCTGATGTGTGGCGGGCAGAATGCCACTCTGACGCCTCGCGGGGAGCCCACACGGGACCGAGACCAGCACGCAGTATCTCACCCTCAGCTGCAGGGGGCACCGTGCAGTCCTTTTCGTAGAAGTGAGAAGTCCGAGACTGTTCTGCGAGAGGAAGATTCCAGGGTCTTAAAAACGCAGAGGTCTGCACCTTGGGAGCCCCTTGGAATGTTGACAGCTCGGGACCTGAAAGGAAGTTCTGTGTGGATGAGTTAACAGAATTCGAGTGGAAGTAAATGTCACTTTACACCCAGTGGTAGTACCGAGTGGGGAACACTATGCAGGAAGAAACCTTCCGTAGAAAGACAGGCAGGGAAGAGCTTAGGCCAGCCTTGACCCTACCGCATAGAGCGAGCCTGAGACGAGCTGCCAGAACGGCCAAATGAGAGACTGGATGAACTAGCAACCCTGTAACTACGGTAGTTGTAAGGAAATTTTCTCCTCTAAGTCACGATACCAAATAGGAAAAATGATCTACAAGTGCCCCATGTGTAGGGAGTTCTTCTCTGAGAGAGCAGACCTTTTTATGCATCAGAAAATTCACACTGCTGAGAAGCCCCATAAATGTGACAAGTGTGATAAGGGTTTCTTTCATATATCAGAGCTTCATATTCATTGGAGAGACCACACAGGAGAGAAGGTCTATAAATGCGATGATTGTGGTAAGGATTTTAGTACTACAACAAAACTTAACAGACATAAGAAAATCCACACAGTGGAAAAGCCCTATAAATGTTACGAGTGTGGCAAAGCTTTCAATTGGAGCTCACATCTTCAGATTCACATGAGGGTTCACACAGGTGAGAAGCCGTATGTCTGTAGCGAGTGTGGAAGGGGCTTTAGTAATAGTTCAAACCTTTGCATGCATCAGAGAGTCCATACCGGAGAGAAGCCCTTTAAATGTGAAGAGTGTGGGAAGGCCTTCAGGCACACTTCCAGCCTCTGCATGCATCAAAGAGTTCACACAGGAGAGAAACCCTATAAATGTTATGAGTGTGGGAAGGCCTTCAGCCAGAGCTCGAGCCTCTGCATCCATCAGAGAGTGCACACGGGGGAGAAGCCCTACAGATGTTGTGGGTGTGGGAAGGCCTTCAGCCAGAGCTCCAGCCTCTGCATCCACCAGAGAGTGCACACTGGGGAGAAGCCTTTTAAGTGTGACGAGTGTGGGAAGGCCTTCAGCCAGAGCACCAGCCTCTGCATCCACCAGAGGGTGCACACCAAGGAGAGAAACCATCTCAAAATATCAGTTATATAAAGCGTTTTGCTAAGAGTTAAAAATCTTAAAACCCATAAGTGCCACTAGGAAGGAAACCCTGTAAATACCTGCATTTCCCCAAGAAATTTTCACAGCCAGCCCCAGCAGAACATTCTTTTCGAAGAGGCATATGTGAGGTTGATTTTTTTTGATTCATGCCAAGTGTGTTCCGCAACTTGACTTCGAATCCGGTATCCCTCTGGTGTCTGCCCAAGATGGGCTGTGAGGTCCCAGCGTTTCCCATCCCCCAACGTGGGTGTGCGTCTCTTGCGATTCTGGCACCATGCCTCCGTAGTTGAAATGCTACACAGGAAACCATGATCATTACCCAGCCTCCTGCGTCACCTTCTGTTGACGCTTCATTCAACAGTTACCCCAGGTACTCCCCTCGTCGGGAGCTCACGACCCCCTTTTGATTCAAGTATACCGAAAACTGCGCTTGAAAATGGACAGCTCCCACTGAGACGGTGTCCTGGTATTTCTGAGGTTCCCCTTGATTCAGCCCCTACATATCTTTTTATATGTCCCATTATTTCTGAACCCACGTTACCTGTATGTCCTCAAAATATTCATAAATATCCACCCCTTCCTAGATGGCATTAAATTTCATTTTAGGTTTTAGGTGACTCAGTTCCCATTCACTTGGCCTATCAGAAATCGTTGATAGACATACGTGCCCTCGAACTCTCTTTAATTTTGTGGATTCTGCTAATCACTGTGTCTCTGTTAGACTTTTCTAGTGGCTACATCACATATTTTTAACTTGAATTTTTTGGAAATAGCTGAATGTAAATAGGAAGAAGCAAGCAGAGTTAGAACTTTTCTCCATCCAGATTGCCTCGGGCTCCGTTTGTGACACGCAGCTCGGCCCCAGCTGGGGGAGGCCGGAGGAGTGGATGGTAGAAGGGGTCACTAATAATGCTTGGTCTCCGTTTCTGTCGTTTGGGCAATAATGAATAGGAGGCCTCGATACCCCTTCATCGAGGGCCGTGTATCAATTCCTTCTTAGGCATGAATGTCTATGCGGATTACCTTTTTCTTTCTTCATTCATTCATTCAACAAGTATTTATTGAACACCTCCTATGTGCCAGGCACTGTGCTGGGTGCCGGGAATACCACTGAATCAGGCAGTCAAGGGCCCTGCTCGTGGAGTTTACTTCTGGTGGAGGAGACAGGCGTTAAGCAAGTAAACATAAATAACGTAGTTTGAGATAGTGATTAAGTGCTATGAAGAAAATAAAAGGTCAGGGAAGGCCTTTCTGGGGTGGCATTGGAGCGGACAGCGGGGGCAAGCAGCACCCGCCGGCAGAGCACGGGTGCTGCGGTGGGACCCTGCCGGCGCGTTTGAGGAGCTGACGCGGCAGGCGCTGAGTGTCTTGAGCAGCGGGAGGGGGACATGCTGAGCTGCTCAGTATGTGACGTTTATAGGCCTTTTTTTTTTTTTTTTTTTTTTTTTTTTTTTTTTTAAAACATGTTGAGGAAAATTAAAAACTCATGTGGAGGAACTCAAGGAATGTTTAGACCAAAAGTCCCCAATGACAGGAACAAAAAGCAACTAATTTTTGACTTTGTTTCCCTTCTCATTCCTGTTTCCATTGATTTCCCACATGTCCTTTTGCTCAGGAAGTCTTTGGGGAAATTGAGGATCTTTGAAGCTCTGAAATGGGTGAGCACGTTAGTGTGTCTGTCAGCTGTCAGGTTGGAAAATGGACTACCCGAAATAGTCACGGAAATACTGAAACCTTGATTTTCTCCTCGTATTCGAATTCATTTCTTCTGCTTGACTGGAAGGGGATTTTGTACAACCAAAACCTCAGTGCATAAAGGAGGTGCAGAAGGAGCATGTCATTCCGCGGGCGGGCTGTGAAACTAGCTGTGGGACTTGGGGTTGGTTGGTCACTGCCTGGATTTTAGCCCAGACACCTCCGAACTGGCCTCTGGGAAGTCACTTCTCACACACTCCGCCGTCTCACAAAGGGAGGGCGGCCCAGGTATTGTTCAAAGCCCCTTCCAGGTCTGAATTCCTCGACTATTTACTGTCGTGTCTTATCACTCACGTCACAGTAGTGTGAAGAGATAGAGAGAAGCCTAGGCTTTTTAGTTGATAGCCAGTTCAGATATCATTGATAGAATTTTAGTTTTAGGAAAAATTGGTTTGATTTCTAGCTTTATTAGGTATGTGAGCTTGGGCAAATCACTTAACCTTTGAGTCTAGTTTTCTCACAAAATGAGGATATTAGGCTGAACGATTTCCGAGTTTCCAGCTAGTCCTAGAGTTCTATATTTCTACATAGTTGAATTATTTTATCATGCCGTTGCTGGGGGATATGACTAACACTTTTGAAGCTACTAATTTTATGTCGAGCTTTAAAGTCCATAATTGTTATCTTTGGAAAATATTATTTGACCTACAGTATGTCCAAATCAATTTAATAAAATCACTTTATAACAGGGTTCTGTGCTTGACAGCAGTTGTATGAACTCAGAGGCCGTGCGTGTGTGCATGTGCGCGTGTGCATGCGTGTGTACGTGCGGTGGGGGTTGGCTTGTGCATCGTGCCGAGGGTGACCGTGTGACTTAACCGTCAGAGCTGGGCACTTCAGGGTAAAGTGGGGGGTTGCTATTAATACTTAAATGAGGACGTCGGGCCTAAATGGGGACTGTCCCACGCAAGTAGCAAATGACTGGCTTGCATGAGGAACAGTTCAAAGAGCAGGCAAAGGCGTCTGCGAGTCTGGGAAGCACGCCCCCTGCGGGCACAGCCCTGCAGCGCAGCTCGTGTGTTTCTAAGGTGGTTTCCAGGCCTAGGGTCCCACACACACTGCTCTTTTAAGAAAAAAACAACAGTATAGGTTTTTACATAACTTTTATCGGTTTTTTAAATGTTGACAATAAATTAACCTTCTCTTTGTGACCCCTTTTGTCATTCGTAGCATGTGACTGGTGCCCGTAGGCTTTTATTTCAGCCTGCTGACCGTGGCCTCTGCTGGTCAGGCTGCCATACTCTTAGTTGCGCTGTGGGGGCCCGTGTTCCACTCAGCGGCCTTTGACAGTGCTGCTGGCATCTGCCAGCTTTGAGGGACAAGTCTGCATTCCATTTGGACCACTGAGGTGGAAGCAGTCCAAAGCCCCTTGCGATGTGAGTGGGTCCAGAAGAGGCTGCATCTGGGCTCAAGTGTCACCGCCGAGACACTCCTGGTGTCTGAAGAACTGGAGCGTGAGAGCGAAGTCAAGGCCGACGTCCCGGTTTCTAACATCCTGGACATCTTTCGGCCAGGAAGTGATCTCGAGTCAGAGGTTCCAGCGGCAGTCCAGGTGGCCTGCCGTGAGCATGGGTGCCCAGGCCCATCCGGTGGTGTTGAGGAGGTCGGAGAGGGCCTCTGGCGCCGTGAGAGCCTGGACATGCCTTCCAAAGGACCGTCCAACTCTTGGTTCTGAAAAGTGTAAAATTATAAAGCAATATTTCTGTGCGAGTTGCTCTTATTCTCAGGAATTTGAAAAATAGGTGAATGGAAAGCAACTACCAGAAGCAGATGGAAAAAGCACTCAGTGTTCACTGGAGCCCGTGAGGAAGCGGTGAGGGTCGGTGCCAGCACCGCGCGGGAGCATCGCCAAGCGCGGGGGCATCGCCAAGCCCGAGGAGGAAGAAGCAGCACGGCACTCAGCCGTGACGTCACGCCATTTCTCAGGTGTCTCACCTATCAGACGGCTTTGGAGATACCTAATTCTTGAGAAAGTTGGGGAAACTAAGTAAAATAAGCAGATACCAAGTGCCTACATTTAGTAATACAACAAAAAAACATTACTGATCCCCGTTGCCTCTGAAGGAAGATGAGTTAGGTTCTTTGGAGTTTTTGTGCTGCTGAGCACGGTGATGGGTTTGGGCATCTGACTTTGGGCTGGAAAGGGCTGAAGTGCTCCACGTGGTCGGGGGGCGGGGGGAAGCCCTGGACTCCCCCAGGATAGTCTGGGACAGGAAACCATGGCAGGGTAGACAAGGGACTCTGGGAGAAGGACCCAGTGGTGTAGGGCAGTGTAAGGTCGCATGCTTGTGTATCTGAACCACAAATCTTTGTCCTCGAAGCCTTCGGATGCTGCTTGGTCTGAGTGGGTTTCTTAGGCCGAGTGCTGGGTCCAGGCTGAAGTGGGGCAGGACACACATACCCCACATGATAAATGTAGGAGCCGGAAGAGGTGGCCACGGGACCGTAAGCTCCGGGGAACATGCAGAAATCTTGGGAGGCGCGCTTCCACAGGCCGTGCCGCCCCGGGCCCCGAGGGGCACAGAGGCACCCAGTGTCTGTCACCACTCAGCATACTTAAGGTAGAATTATTTTAAGATCATGAGTAAATGAAAGCTTTTTATCATCCCCATATTATACTTAAAAATTTTAAGGGGCGCATGAGCAAATCCAAAGATCCCAAGGCCTTGTGTTTACAGCACACGTCAGCAAGAACTTGGCACAGATCTTGATGGGTGGTGACTTACACCAAAGTGCTTTTATTCAGATTTCGGCATATACAGATAAGATACCTTTTAAAGTCAAGGGCTAGCATGCACAGGTTGCTCTTAATGCTTTTCAGGGGGATTTATACATTTTATAGGCTCTCTGTTTTGTGTACTCTGTCAGTTACTCTTCCTAAATACTGCTCAGAATGTGTCCCCTCAGAGATGTCCCCTTGTCCTCTGTGCTGACTCTGGATCATGAATTATGGCGGGTGTGTTGTGTTTAGATAGAATTTTTAAACCAAGGACCTGTAAATGGGTTTGGGAGCTCTAGAACCTTCTTAAATTGTCTGCAGAATTTTATGTCTATGGGGTCTATGCATTGTTCTAGGAAGGAGGGCTTTCATTAACTTTGTGACTAATAGATAATGCTAATCGCGGCACGCCATCTGACTTAGCCACGCAGTTAATTATTTATCGTGCAGGGACCTTGGGCAGAGGGGCGTTTGAGAGTTCATTCAGAACAGCGGTGGGTCGCTGGAACCAATAGAAAATGATGCGTGTGACAGACGGGAGAAAACCCGCTACGCCGTGTCGTGACGAAAAGCCGTTGGCATGAAACGAACGATGCCTGTGCCGTGTGGTTGCACCGGGCTTGATGGGGGAGCAGCGTCGCGATGTCACGAGGTGTGCTTACGAGGCACGTTCTGCGACAGTGCAGGAACGTTTGTGTCGATGAGAACGGCCGTGTCAGAGGGGCTGCTTGGGCGTGAGTGGAAAGAAACGGCTATGTGAATGGAAAACTCTGGAACTACAGCTGAGTCTCTCCTGGTTGCAGAGGGGGCAATTCTTGCTGTAAAATAAGGGTGAGGTCCCCAGTGCTGGCACGGGCTGTGTTTAGATTCTCAAATAAACCTATTCATGTCGCTTGGTGCCGTGTTTGATTTTCTGTGTCCCATGTCACTTGCCTGAAGTAACAGAGTTAAAGTAATATCTCTCGATCAACATCTGAATCGTCAAAACCATCATAGGCTGTCATATGAGAGCGTTGGCCCCGAACCCCTAGTTTAATCCCATGGGGGTTGAAATGAAACACACTCGTAGTCGCTGTTTCGTGAACGGTGTTTATTTGTAGTCGCTTTTACCTCTTGGACGCGAGAATTATTTGGAAGA